AAAGAGCCGTAAACTTCATTACAATGACGTTGTTCCTTTTTGCGCTTACAAGCTGACCGCTTACCTCCATATGAACGACTTTCCCACTGTTACCAGTTTGTTAAGTAGCTTGCCATGTATCGGTAGACTTGAGGAGCAGAGAGGAGTTCGAGACCAGCAGGGTTCGAGACCAGTGAAGAACAGTTCCAGAAAGCAGGAAAATTTATCTTATAAGCCAAAAAAGTAAAAAACATGTTGAGAATGTGGTAAAATCTGAAAACGTAGTAAAAATTAAGCGAGAGCTATTCTTTTTCTGGACTGCTTTTTAAAACTGTTGGTTGGGTTTAGGGAAGTGGGTGAGGGCTGGTCAATCGGTGCTTTTGAAAACACTATTGGTTGGGTTTATTGAAAGGTTTATTGTTGGGTAAGAGAAATTTGAGATCTCAAAAAGCCTAAACAGCGGCCTCTGGTGAAATTATGAAAACAAAACTGCAAAAAACAAAAAAAAAAAAAACACACCTCCTGGGACATTTTTGGTGCTCTCCAGAAATGTATGTAACCATACGGTTTCAGAATAAGCCTGGGTTGCAAAAATTATGAACATTTTTTTAATTATTTCATAGAACAATTATAATTTTTCTATTTTATCATCAATGCATTTGCCACTTGATGTGATGTTTTGTTACCAAATGCCCTAAAATTCATTTTAAGTGTGACTTCAGTGTCCAAAATAACTATTACAAATGAACTTAGACATTTCTACTTAGCTTAGCACATACCACCATTAGTAAAAATGCAAGTGCTTCATCTGGAGAATTTCTTTCAAAACTTAGCATGTACATGTGATCAAATCCAATAATAAAAAGCAGTCAAACCAAATGCAGACATACAAAACAAAATGTCCATCATAAATAACAAAGATAATTCACTCTAGATATATATCAGTACTGGGTTTTAAAATCAGGCTGACAGAAGTACAGTAGATTATTAATCTTATGCTGTAAGTCTTAAACAGTCATATTTACAACCGATAAAGAAGATAAAGAATCGAGAAAATGGGCACTTCGGGAGAGAAAGAAAGGGCCACAACTAACCATAGAAGCAGCAAGAGAAGAAAATCCACAAAAACAGAGCATGACACACGGAGAAACAAGCCCGAGGAAAACAGAACATCACTTGAGATCAAATCAAACGTCACGAATACAAAGTTACTGACACAATGTCAGACCGTAATACAGACAGTGCTTGTTAAACAAAACTGAACGCTTCATGGCACACAAAAAAATAGAGAAAAAAAGTCTTGATGCAACAGTCTTTATATATTTACACTTTCCCATAAATCTTTCAGAGCTCTACAAAAATACGCTTCACTTTTCTTTAGAACAACACTCTTGTAACTGATGCCTGTATACTCTCATGGCTCAGAAATACAGTACATTTCACTGCACGCAAATTGTTGTAAGTTAAAAAAAGTGTTTTCCTACTACGTTTTTTGTCATATATGTACACATGGTTTGGTAGGTCATTAAAAGTCAAGGACTGTGTGATTCTCGGCAGTCTGTAAAAAGGTTGAATTTGTATAAACAGATGCTTCCCTGCAGTGAAATATGAAATATGGTTTAAGTATTTCACTCAATGTGATCTCATTAGTATTCAGTGGAAGTAGCTAGAATGTAAACTGTAAACCCTTTTACACACTACTCGTTCTTTGAAAGAATGTACTACTAACAATTGATCCTATTGATTAATCCTGACAGTAAAGACATGCTATAAAAGACTGTATTTCAAATAAATGCTGTCCTATTACAGTATTTATAAGTATTCCACAGAAAAATACTGAGCATCACAACATTTCAACATGGACAATTAGACAACGTTGGTAACACTTTACTTGAAGTGCTAAATCTTTATAATCATTACATGAAATGTCATGTAAATAAGACTTTATGCATGCTTTTATAACAACTTTAAGATCCGTTCACACCAAAAACTATAAGGACAATGAAAAAACACATATTTTGTAATTAAATTTAGACAAATCCAACTGGGTTAATTTTTTAATGTAATTTTTTTTTAAACCCAAGGCTTGGGTTTATCCATTTTTAACCCAAACACTCTAAAATGCATTTTTTTTACACAATTCTGAGTGTAAATAGCCACTAACCCTACTGAGTTCATTTTTTAAAATTACATTAATAGGACCAAAATTAAATTAAATTAAATTTTACCCAGTTTTAAATAACCCAGCATTTTTTAAACTGAAGGGACAACCTAGGATTTTTTAGAGGATCCACATCAGTGCATGATTGCACTTTGCCTAATAGAAATGCACAATCATGTTATTTTGCCTGCCATTCTAAATGATAAAGTCTCCAAGTGGACTCTGATTGGCTGACAAATTTATTTTAAATATATTAAATATAGAAAAATCCAAATGGGTTATTTTTTTCTTTTAAAACGCATTTAAAAAAACAAAAACAAAAAAACAAAAACAAAGGTTGGGTCTGTCCATTTTTACCCAAACACTCTAAAAACTTTTTTAAAATTACATTGATAGGGTCAACTTTAACCCAATGTTTGGGTTAGTCCATATTTTACCCAGTTTGAGTTTAAATAACCCAGAATTTCTTAGTGTGAAGCGACAACCCAGCATTTTTAGAGCATCCACATCAGTGCAAGACTGCCTTTTGGATAATAAAAGTCCAGAATCATATAATTTTGCCTGCCATTCTAACTGCTAGAGTCTCCAAGTGGATTCTGATTGGCTGACAAATTTCTTTTTGTGGAAAAATGATATTCTATTGTTCATGTTATTCCTTTATATTTTGAACATATTATTAATTTATAAATTATCAAGTGTCATTCGCTTAGTTAAGACATTTTAAATGCAAAGTTGACATTGTTATAGCAACTTGACATACACAAATATGTCACAACCGGTTTTTGTCTTTGACATTACCAAGACTTGTTATAAATCTGTCATAAACATGATTGTCATGAAGCCATTTTAAATGTGTCATGAATTTTATGACAGCATATAAATATGTTTTTGTCCTCAACTTCAGTGGTACAAGCTGAATTTGTAATTAAAATGTCATTAAATATTAATGACACTGTTTTGACAGAGTAATGTAACTTTTAATGAGACATTTTACCGACAAATACAGTTTGTTCCACTGAAAATGTGATCAGAAAAATACCCATGACACATTTATAATGGCTTCATGAGATTCATATTTATGACAAGTTGAACAAGTATTTATGTCATAAGTTGTCATGACAAAGTTATGTCATCTTTGCATTTAAAATGACATAGCTGAGCAAATGACACTTAACATTTGTCATAAGCATGCATAAAATCTCATTAACATCATTAAAGCTTATTAAGGTTTCATGACAGTCTTACGAACACCCCTTCAAGTAAAGTTTTACTGAAATGTTTTAGTAAATGAGGGTTTCTGGAATAAATTAGATTATAAATATTATCACTGAAATGTTATTTACTAAAAGCAAAAACATTTTAAATGCCAATATTATTTCACAATATTGCTATTTTACTGTATTTCTGATCAAATAAATGTAGCCTCTGAAAGCATAAATAAAAATAAAATAAACTGCAATATTACTTCTAAAATGTACAATACAATTTACAGATAATTACTACACTAAATCTGTAGAAGGGTTTACACTTTATAATACTCGAACTGAACACTTTCTCATATATGAATACCAAAACATAATAAAAATATTAGCAATGCACAAATAAATACCTCAAATATGGCCATGCTGTAAATGGCATCAATAAACATGTTCATGTTAATGGTACCTAAGGACCAGGCTTTATGATATTTGGCAGTTTAGGACTGTTGAAATGCTTATGTATTTTGTTGCAACATAATATCTCTTGTTTATATGTCACAAATCAGGCAGGATGTCACCAAAAGAAGTTAATCTCGACTACAAACAAGCCTTTTCACAATTCATTATTAAACTCTACACAGAAACTTGAAACTAGCAGATTGGAAACTACAGGGGCAACATGTACAGGTACTGTATTTGTGCTACACTTGTTATTAGGTGTGAGATAATAGACAGACAACAACAGAAATAAAACACAACTTCAGACCACTGACAGATTTCTGAGATATGTTAGTGCTTATGAGCGGAACATCAATGTTTTTTTTTTCTTTTTTCTTGTTTTTTAACAGCATCCAACTTGCCTAATCAAGAAAACCTTCAGAAAATGAGTAATGAAATGCCCTAAATAATAAATGCATAGCAGCCATTGTGAATAAATAGTAATAGTAATAGACAACAAAAGAATAATCATGTTGTGCCCAAATTCCATTTTCCAATTACAGATTTGACAAAGGCTCAGGACTGAGAAGTTGAATTGCACTATTGTATGTGTTAACTATAGCAGATTAAAACTAATCTGATTGGCTGTCTTTAGCTGGAATTAGAACGCAGTCCACATGAGCTATCCTGAAAATATGTCACTGAAACTTTTTTTTTTTTTTTGGTTAAAATCAACATGAAACGGGTTTCAACCCACAATTTGCTTTCAAAATGTGATGGTAATTAAATAAATTAATCTTTATTTTTTATCTTGCTTTTTTATAATTGTAGATTGTATCAAAGCAGGTTAACTAGATGCAGAAAAGAGAGTAAAAGCCACATTCATTCATTTTCCTTCAGCTTAGTCCCTTATTTATCAGGGGTTCGCCACAGCGGAATGAACCGCCAACTTATCCAGTTTATGTTTCACGCAGTGGATGCCCCTTCAGCCACAACCCAATACTGGGAAACACCCATACAAACTCATATTCACACTCGTACACTATGGCCAATTTAGTTCATCCAATTTACCTATTCCGCACCTGGAGGAAACCCACGCCAACGCAGGGAGAACATGCAAACTTCACACAGAAATTCCAACTGGCCCAACCGGGACTCTTCTTGCTGTCAGGCGAAAGTTCTAATCACTAAGCAACCGTGCCATCCTTTAAAGCCACATTATGTTTTGAATTGTTAATTTCAAACTGCTTCAGCTCATTTTATTATAAACGTCACTGATGAAGTTGAGTTACTATAAAAATAGTTGGGTTCCACACAATTGATTTGTTGGGCCAACGTGAAGAAATTAGGCTAACCTCATTTTTTTTTTTTCAAAATTTATTTGGATTGGATTACGTCCCCCCCAAAAACTCAAGAATTGTGTTGTTTGAGCTCAGTTTACATTAATAGTTTGAACAAGCAGCAAATATCTTTTTTTTGAGTGTAGTTTAGCTCAGATCAGAGTAAAGTCTCAATGCTGAAGGCCAATCCACAGATAAGTCACATTCAGACTTGATTTCATCAATCAAGAGACAATTCTGTCAGGAGTAATGGGCCAAAATTCCTTCAAACTATTGTGAGAAGCTTGTGGAAGGATACCCAAAACATTTGACCAAAGTTATACAGTTTAAAAGCAAAACTAAAAAAAAAAAAAATACCAAGGAAATGTATGTAAACTTTTGACGGCATAAAAATAATTAATAAAAAAAATAAAAAATAAAAAAATAAATTCTCTCATTATTCTGGCATTTAGCAAATGTAAACCATTTAGGTAAGCCTAACGGACCTAATATAGTAAACGTTTAGTATGATTTACAATCAAACGTTTAAAAAAATGGTTATGCTCCTTATTTAGTGTATGTAAACTTCTGGTTTCTGGTTTTTGACAGTTCCTTAGCAAATTATTCTGGTGAGTAACTAGTTTCAAGTTTAACAGTAACTTCCCCAACAATGTTCTCCATGTATTTCCTAGTGTGTTTCAGCCTGTCAACTGTCCCTTTAACATTTAAATGTGAAAATTTGAAGTAGAAAGGCATACAATCTAATTCTAAAATGTATTTCAAATATCTTTTTAAAGGATAATTCGTTTTATTGTTTACTTGGTTATTTGTAAAACAAATTCAGATGTGGAACAAATCCATTGTGTTGAATGATTATGAAGCATTAAGAAAGCAAATAAGGCCAATTTCATGTTGACTTAAACGATATTGATCAAAGACTTTTAACCAGTAAAAACACAAAGTCGCAGTTTAAAATTCCTGCAAAGAAGATTTGAAGTTCCTAGACACCCTTGGTCAAAGCGTATTCACTTCAGCTACTGATAAAGTAAATTATGTAAACACCCTGTAAACCATTCAGTGCTGCTCGTCCCGAAAATGAGCTCTTCATATCTCTCAAAAGGTGAACTAAACGGGAATCACCACCCCTGACTTTCACTGAAGATTATTCTATTGTATTCTCAGTATGAACAAATGTCTCCCAGTGCTTTTATCAGCCTCCCATTCAACTCATTGTGCTGAGGAACTCAACTGTCCATAATTTCCCAGTCCTCTCAAGTCTAACAGTAGTCGTCCGTGTACAGTAGGGCAGCAGTTTTAGCGGTATGAAGAATGGGCAGCAAAAGTGCAAGTGTTCCAGTCACGACAAATATAAAACACAAGTGCATAATCCCTTTAATTCACTTCTCCGTCCGCTTAAAATTAAAAATTTTAATTTTTACTTCTCATTCATGGTCTTCTCCAATGAAGGACTTGCCAGCACCTTTCAAAATGGCTGACTCAATATCTAAATTCAGCAAATTAATGATTTTATTAACTCTGAATATGCACTGATCTGTGTATATTAGCTTTTTTTTCTCTCTGTTTTGGCTGTTCATCCACACTGAAACAGTTTTCTCCAAAGTTGATCAATCTATAAACACAATTGTCTTGCGGTATTGTGGACTGTAAAGTAGGGCTGCATGACATTGGAAAAATGTGACATTGTGATGTTTTAGTTTTCAGCAAAATATATAGCGATATACTGTATACAGTTGATTGAATAGCATTGTTTGGAAATAATTCATAGTCACACTTCATTGTGAGGTTCACTTCTCGCGATTAGCAATCCATTGACTATGACTTTTGCTTTAAAAACCTCCCAATTAGCTCTTTATTAATAAATATTAAGGTAGCTCAGGTATTGGGTATGACGTAGACCAGTACCAGGAGGCACACAACATCATAAGACGTTAATATTAGACTTAGGTCATGATGTCAGGTGACCAAAATTCAATGTCTAGGCAGCGTCTAAGGACAACGTTATTTTGACATCCATGTAATGTAACGATTGTGAGGGCGCAGGTGAGATGTCATTTTTCGAGAAACACTCAAATACATCAGGTGCGCTGCGTATGAAACGTCGATAAGTCATGTAAAACATTTAATAGCAAACTGAAATAAATATCTTTTGATTATACGGTTTAGGATTTGATGTTTTATGAGATTATTTAAATTTTTTTGCAATTATTTTGCGTTTAATTAAGAATTTTGCAGGATCGCGAAAATTTCTGACTTTTTGTTAATCGCGGAAAACTATGGGATCTGTATAAAAGCACTCTATCCACATCACAGACTACCGTCTCACATTTTTTTTCAGCACCGAGATAATTAAGATGGTCAATTTATGTTTATTAATTTCACATGTTTGTTTATTTTCAAAATGTAGGATTTTATGTGTTCCCCAGTTTGTACATAGGCTACCAGAAGCTGTGAGCCTTCAGAGTTTTTTTTTAAACACAATACACTAGGAACTAGTGCACTTTTTTGTCTTTTAGGTGAAATTGCAATATATCGTTTACATTTTTTTTCTCCTTAATCTCTTACTGTTCCTATTGCCTAAGCAAAGAGTAACAAAATAGAAACGCCATCAGAACTGAACCGAACGAACTGAAAATCTTGTTAAAAAAACTGAGGTATGTATTGAACCGCAGGCTAACTGTATTGTTGCATCCCTAGTAACAGGCTAGCGCAGAAATTCCATTGAAAATACTTGGGTAAAATCATATATTAAAGACAAGGCAGGGGGAAATGGAATTTAAAGCAGTGCTTCTTGTCCGATCTGAGATCATATCATTTATCTAACAGGCAGTGAAGATTGCTGATTTTTAAAGAAATCAGATCTTAAACGTGACAATCTTGTAGTAGAAAGACAGGTCACTGGACCCTGCCGGGCTGCCTGGGTGAAAATTAAAAGTCTGTGTTAATATAGCCCATTGCGAATCTTGTCGCACTAGCTTGTGTTTAGAAGTCTATGGCGCGAAAAGTCTAGTGAGACCACAGCTTAACTCCCACCCTATTCCCCCTCCCCCAATCTCCCAGAATATCTGAGACAAATGTTGGCAGCTACTTTTCTTTAGTCTGAATTAGATCTGAAAAAAAATATCCTGTGCATGTTTATTTAAATACTCTTAAATAAATAAATAAGGTAAAAACAGCTAATAAAAACAGCATTTTTTTTTCTAGTGAAACATAATATCGTAAGAAATTTTAATATCGCAATACTCAACAACATCAAATATCACATACGGTTCCAGTATCGTGCAGCCCTAATATAAACCCATGTCTGGCCTGTCAGTATTATTTCAATGATCCTTCAATACAAGGATTTCATCATGTTCCATTGTTTCAGTGTGGATGAGAGATTCTCTGAGTTTGCTAACTCCAGTGTGGACTGAGTGTTCGATCAGTGTAGCTTCAGATCTTCATTGACATCCTGTGTGAGGCTTATTAAAATACCTGTAGATAGGAAAATCAAAAAGTTCTTGGGTGACCGGTGGGGTGAATGGGGATGAATGTTTGGATGAGATGAGTTGACCTTTTCCTTCAATGTTTGTTTTGTTTTGTCTTATAACGTCAGTTCAGTGGCTTACATTATTCATATTCAATATTTTTTTGAGGATAACGGAAAGACATTTAAGGTGCTGGTAGAAGAACCAGGCTCTACAGAGCATGGAGACCTGGACGTTAGACCACAGTGTTCCTCTGCCGGTACGGAGGAGGCGGCAGGACCATTCCCGGCTTCACACCAGACAGATATTCAGGGTTTTCTGCCGCAGGAGGCTGAACGCGGCCATTCTGCTTGTAAAGGAACTTGTTATTGCAGACCGCAGAAGAAGAGTCCTGGGAGATTTGAGGTGGAGGAAGGCTGTGCTGCCAATACTCCGGATTGTCAAAGCTGTTCTTGTACATCTTGTCCACTAATACAGTCCCAATCTGGCTGCCTGGCTGCACTGGATGACCTGGTAGTTTACCTCCTGATAATTGAAACTGTTGTGGTGAACGGTTGGATTTGCTCGGATGTCCCTGTTGGACTTGATGGCTCACTAGACAGATCTGACCTGCTGATGGGCCGGATTTGACGGCGTGATCGTGGCCTGACTGAACTGAATGTGCATTGTGATCATTTTGGCTCATGGGTCCAGGGTGCACCGGCTGGACTGGAGGTATGGCGAAGTGAACATGCGGCCCATGGCTGTGGTGATGGGGTTTACCCGTCTGTAAGATGTGGCCAGCTGTGGTCATCTGTGCTGGGATGGAGACTCCGTTCTTCCGTAGCATCTCCTGGTGGATGTCGCTGGTGTTGTTGAACGTGTTGAGGTAAAGGGGCTCGTTAATGTACTCGTCTTCACATTTGGGCTTTCCGTCAGGGGTGTTGTGGTAACCCGGGTTGTCCAATGCATGAACGTCTTTGCTTTTGCGTCTTGTTACGAAAGGATTCTCCTCAACTGGATTCAAATGATCTAGAAAAATAGCATAGATAAAAAAATCATAGGGCTGTGCAATATGAATGTGCTTAATTTGGAATTATTAATTCATTCATTAATTGTCCGGTGGCTTAGTCCCTTATTTATCACGGGTCGCCATTGTGGAATGAACCGCCAACGATTCTAGCATATGTTTTATGCAGCTTATGCCCTTCCAGCCGCAACCCAGTACTGGGAATTATTTGGAATTATATGAAACAATATTAATATTTTAAGTTTTAGTTTTTCGAGAAAATTAATCCCATGACCATGATTATGATCAGTATTTTAGAGCAAATTATTTGTGATAATTAGTTTAATCCTTATGCCACATGACAGAAATATGAAAAAATAGTATGTTTACGTTCACTAAAACTACACATAATTTCCCAAACTTTTAGTTCAATAAAGATTAATAATAAAAAGAACAAAAAAATATAATAGTAAAATAAAAAATTAAATAAAAAAATATAAAATTACATTACAAAAAAAAATTAGTTTAATAATTAAAAAAATCTAAATCAATTAAAATAAATTAAATTTAAACTAAATAAAATGAAGTTTAACTTGTGCAAAAAAAATTAATAAAATAAAATAAAATAAAATAAAATAAAATAAAATTAAATTAAATTAAATTAAATTAAATTAAATTAAATTAAATTAAATTAAATTAAATTAAATTAAATTAAAGCACCAACCAGATTTTCATAAAATCCGATAAAGAATAAAAACAGAACATACTTGTGGAGATCTTGTCCTTCATAGGGGACATGTACCCATCCTCATCTGTATCCTCTCTCTGTGTTTTCTCTCCCAGCAGGACAGTGGGGTCTGCGCTGTAACGTTGGCCACTGCTGTCCTCCACTGAATGAACCGTGGCCTGTTTCTTCAAGCTGCCATTACAGTGTTGCTCCTCCACCAGATCCAGACCTGCTCTTTGTGCACTTCCAAGAGCAGAGGGTGCGTTTCCAGCAGCAGCCACTTCATGAAACCTCGTTACGTCCTCAGGACACCGACTTCCATCATGATACCCAAACTGATTCTGATCACAAGAGGAACATAACATTAAAGTCCACATGCGACCGTATTCGTCCCCATATTGTTACAGTTCCTAGTGAACTGAATATTATATGAGAAAACAGTGGGCATGGCTTGATTTTCTACTGCAAGCTGATTGGATGTAGAAAAGTGGGCATTTCATTCAGAAAGATCCGGAAATGGTTTTCGAGAGAGCAAACCAGACCAAACACCTCCTCCTCACCATTTCTGTGTGTTGTCAAAACTGACAGTTGGAGGGGCGTGGTTAAGTATGTAAGCCACACCCAATACCTTAAACATACCTAATCTGACAATTTATTTGAAGATAAAATAAGAATTGTTTATTTAAAGATTGCAAGGGCAATTTTGACGACATGCACAAATGAATTGTTCATCACAAAACTAGTAATGTGAGCAAACAAAATCATATGGTTAATTTTAAGTTCAGTTGTACTTGAAGTAAAAAAAATAAGACATTTGTTGATACATTGAGCAGCTATTGCTGTTTTTTCTTATACTTTTATTATTTAGC